TGTGTGTGTGTGTGTGTGTGCGTGCGTGTGCGTGTCTGCGGGCGAATATGCATGCGCACATGTGTGCGTGCTTGCCGATTTTATGTCACATCACAGAAGGGAAATAAGTGAATCGGTGCCTGTGGCATAGATTCTAAGTTGGGACTTCGGTGTTTGTAATCTCTCCTAAAGTTCAGGTTTGACAAAACCCTTCAATGCACAGACCACTCATGCTATTGTTTCGACTCAAATCACAACCATCACAACCGCCGTCTATTGATACTAGACGTCTATTGACCGTCTCTTGAACCTAGACATATCGCCTATTGAACCTTAGCGGGTTATCTCGTCGAGGCTGACAGCTTTAAAACTCCCGGGATAAATCACCAGAAATCACTTCGTAGGGAACTCCATCCGTACTGTAGTAGTAATCCCTCGCACAAACTAGGTAGAGTTTCACTTCACACGAGAGGGGCGGGGGCGGTATGGGAGGGGGAGGGGGAGAGCGGAAAGCTTTGATCTTCTGCACGAGGCCAGAACTGCTAACGAACCCGTAACGCACACAGGTAACCAACAACACTCAGCAGACAGCCAGTCCCCGTCTTGAGGAGGTGGAGAGTGGGAACCGAGGATCTAGGAAGGAGCGCACACTCACGGCTCATCACAGACTGACTGACTACCCGGAGAAAACGTAACAGAATTGGGCTATCTTCGGGGGGTACCCAGCTACCAGCATCAATCGGGCTTTCAGTACTTTCATCGGGAGTACCGAGGTACCTTCTCCATACAGTGCCGCGAGCGAGAACTACTCAACGAGCGATGGTGTAGATCTATAGATACAAGAGTCCATGTATAGTGTACCCTTCTCACAGCGTAAACACAAGTATCAGGACAACACTGCACTGTCAACAACAAACAACAACCGCCCCTTGACTTATGTCATAATAATAACAATTGTCCATCCGTCAATGTCAAACGAAGATCAATGTATCTCCTCACGCACGATAAAGTATAGCGTACACGAGTAACTATTGCAGCGTGTGGTGGCAGAACTTTCTAAACTTTCACTCGAAATAGATTCCTAATCACGTTCAACCGGCTTCAAAGATCCGCAATCTAAACAACCCAACGACAGCAAAGAAAGCAAGCTAAATAAATGTTTTAAGCCCCTTTCAACAGAGTTTAGATAATTTAGGGGGGGGGGGTTCTTCGGTCCTGTCCGTCAGGAAAAACTCGTGTTGAGTGGAATGTAACCAGCCTCCCAGCACTGAGCCGGGAAAATTCGATAAAACGGTTTACCGAAATGGACTCTAACTCACACTTTCTGCGTTCAATAGCAAAGAGCCTAACCATAACACCACAAACGCCGGTACATCAGGGAAAACGGCAAACGACCAACAGTCAACAACGGAACTGCTACGTCGTAACAATCACCACATCCACATCTCTCCAACAATTTTCCTTCAGAACACCCTGCCCCAATGGACGGATAATCGTTGACAAAAACCAGAACCAATACAGCTGATCAGTCACACTCTCGGTGGAGGAGGAAGAGCCCTCTACAACAACGGATTCCAGAACAAGCAAAACGAGATAACAAGTACAGCAGATCTCGCAGCGCACAGTGCACACGTAAACAGGTCTCCAAAATAAAGGGCAACATCCAACGATATCAGACTTCAGTGCTAGCACGAGTATTGCTCCTAAACACGACCCAGAAGAAGCACCACAAAAAGAGGCCCACAATGACCAACCACTAAACAGAAAAGAAAAATCGTGTCCGAAGAAGAAACCTTTCACACTTAGAGTCCATGTCTATCCATAACCCTTCGTCCTCGGGTCCATGAACACGATACATGTGTGACCAATAAAAAAATAAATAATAAAGGAACCAAAACGTCAAGAGGCTCCTTCCTCCACCGAGCTAACAGTGGAAGGATAGAAGAGAAGGAAGGGAACACCACCACCACCACACCACCACACCGCCGTGCATCCAAAATTAGACGAAGGAGAAAGATGCGATAAGGCACACGCCGGCAGGAAGGAAGGAGACGCTACGCGCCGGACCAACTCACGGGTGAGTACCCGGGACCAGAGGCGTCACACACACACGCACAGACACAGGGGGGAGAGCGTGCCTCGTGCGCTCAATGAGAGGGGTGAGTGCATGGGGGAACGAGAGAAAAAGACGGAGAGAGAGAGATAGAGGGGGGGGAGGGGGAAA